TATCCATTTCAAAATATATTGTGCTCCGTTGTTTTTTAAATAACTTTTGATAGGAATGTTACAGAGACCTGCGATTTTCACCATTCAAAAGAGAAGATCCAAAGCAATCGAAATATATCAAAATTCCATTGGCTAATTGGATAAGTTCTTGGTGAGAACTTTGAAAGGTTCCGGATCTTCTCTCTTGAATGGTGAAAGCCGAAGATCTCTATGATGTTCCTATCAAAAGTTATTCAAAAAAAAACAACGGGGCATATTATATTTTGAAATGAGAAGTAGAACAAATCGAGGAATCATTAAAACATTTTCTTTTAAATTGGCCTCAGCTGTTTCTCATTTTCGTTGAGCTTTTTCATAATTATCTCTTAGTTCAGTCATTGTTTGACAAATAGTTGACTTATATTAAAAATCAATCAATCAATAAATAAATGCTTGTTTATCTCTAGCCTGTTCAATGATTTTGATACATCCTTATCAATACTTTTATTTAACTTACAAAATCTTTATTTATTTTCCAAAGATCAGACAATACTTTACAAGAATCTGAAATATAACGAACTCGATTGTATTAATCAGGTACATCATCACTTCTATATTAATAAATATAAAAAAAAACAAAATACTTTCATTTTTTATTTTCGAATTTCTTTGTTTAACCATATCGATAAATATCCTATTCGAATAAATTTATTTTCAAAACGTTTTTATAAGGATCGATTAAATTTATTGCCTTAGAAATTTTTAATCGATAATTCGAACTATTTTATCATTATTTCGTCTTATAGGACGTTTCTATCTAGCAGTTAAAAACAGATTTTCAACAAAACAAGTTCAAATCGGATGAAATATTAATCATTTGTTAGCGATCGTTCAGTAGAGAGAAATAAATTGTGCCAAAATTGTTCAGATCGATATAATGTTTCTAGGATAGATTATTAAAATAATAAATAATTTTCGTTGTCAATCTTTATATATAATAAGATAATCAATATAGATTCAGCTAGAAATCGATTTATATAATAAATAACGAATTTTTGACCAGATGTAAGGAGATAGTTAACTATTTAAATTAGCTTTGAAAAAATAACAATAAAGATTTAATATGAAAGTTTGGTTTTTTTAATTCCACGAATATGAAAACTATTCTTTAAATCTATTTACATAATATAAAACGTTTGGGTAAATTTGAAAAATTCTTTTTAACAATTTGAATACTCTTCAACACAAATGATATTTTATTTCTAAATAAAGATATTTTTTTAATGAAAAACACTAATATATAATTATTATGTTAACTCGACAATAATGACATAAAATAATTTCATTATAAAACTATAGAAAAACTTTTAACAAAAACAAACACTAGAAAAGGGTTAACTCAATTAAATTAAAATAAATAAATTGAATAAAATCTTATTTCTATCAATATTAGTCTAACCATTGAAATGATTTATTATATTAATATAAGATTTCATTTATTTATTTAAGAGTTTGATTTATTTCAATAAATATCTTCCATTCGTATAATATATGTTAAATCGATCGAGTTATTTCGATTTCTATTGAAAATAATTCTTTGAATATATTATATCTTTCGAATATAATTTATCAGTTTTTTTTCCCTCATTTCAATATTAAAAAACTATTTTATTAAATCGAAATAAACCAAACATAAATAAAGATAATAAATGAGATTTATTTTTATTTTTGAATCGCTAATATAAATAAATCTGTTAATATTATAATATAACCATATTCAATAGAATTACAATTATAATAACAAAAACAAGAGAAACATCTTATTATATAAATCGATTATTTAAAATGTTAATTAAAATAAATATATATATATTGAAAAAAAATTTATATAGAATAAGTTGTTGTCTTTTTATTTAAATTAAAAAATGAAAATCTCATCCAAGGATACGCTGCAAGACTTGATCGTCTTGACCGTTGTTCGGAATTTGATCGATTATCATCAGATAAATAAGTCTGATTTGCTAATCTTTCAATAAGAGAATTCTTTGTATTAAATGATGTCATGCGCACTTTTTTTTTCAATATTATAATTATATAACAAAACGACAAAAAAGAATAGAGAACTCTTCAATAGTCAATTCTTTATAAAATATTCAAATATAATATAAACAAATCATTTTCTAATAGAGATATTTTATTTCTAACAGTTAACAATTTATCGAGATAACATTAGACTTATTTTAAACGATTAACCATTTACATTGAAATAAAACCTTTTATTTTACATCGAATTATCTTTTATTTTCATTGAAAATTGTTTTTTCGATTGAAATATTCTAATAAGATATAATATATGTAAAATCTCGTTTTGGTCTTCAAAGATAAGACAACTATCAATCTTATTCTATAGTCAACATTTCATCTCGAAAATAAAATAAAATCAGTTTACCCGATATATAATATAGGATAAAATTCCAAAATGATGATATTTATTTATCGTCTAGAGATATCTAACATCTATTTAAACTACTTTAAACGAATCATCAAATCACCTTGGTCAACATATATATAGCAATTGAGAATATTTTCCAATTATTCTCTAAAATCTCGATCAGGATAGAACTAATCTTTAGATGATATGATCAAATCGAATGTTTAGAGATTAATGATAATAAGGAGGATCGAAAGAGTGCTTATGTTATATGGTAACGATACCTGCAGGAAAGAAAATAATTTGATGTGTTTTTTTTCCATGCTAATAGAGTTTGAATATTGAGGTTAAACTTAATTACAGAAGAGAGAAAAAAAACGACGAGAGATAGAATAGATCAATTAGATTTTATTTATTTAAATATTAATATTAAATGAAATTTTAAATAAAATCAATATAACGTTAGAAAAAAACTTATGTTCGATCTTTATTACCTAAAACAAGTTCAGCTCTAGTTCAAAACTGATGAACTGTTCAAAACGCTCACTACCACAAACTGAACTATTTGAACAGTTCTTTTCAACGAACTGAACCTTTCCAAATAGTTTAGCTCTATGAGTTGATCATCATGAAAAGTTACACATATCATCTTCAGGATTCCTTAGGGGCATCACAGGCTAGATATCTATGACTCCTTAAGTGTCCTATGGAGATACTCATAGGTCCACAAGTTCTATTATATAGGGAGTATCAATAGTTCCTCAAGTCCTATTAAATAAGAGTGTGGGTGTTTATCTTCTCTTCACTTACATCCACACCCACACCTCAAGAATAGTAGAAGAACATCAATAGTAACATTTTATCTATGCTTTCATCGTCTTCGCACGATATTAGACTCTCAATTGATTAAAAAATTAACCTACTAATACAGAAATTCATCATACATTTTCAAACAATGATGTCTATTGACTTGTTTCTATGTATACAAACACTTATGGTAATATAAGGCGAGAACAAGAGAAACTCTTAGATATCATAAAAAGAAAGCAAGGCATGACATTATTTATTAAGTTTTTTTTGTCATGAATTGCTTTTTATTTTGCTTTCTGTTGACAATAAAGATAACGACTAGTTTAACTAAGAGTGAAGCACTTAAAATGAAACAAAATTCAGAGAGAATGAATATCACGTCTAGATAGAGTTTTTAGAGTTATATTTGTAAAGCAGTTTTGAGTGGTGCTGAAAGTTGTATGATTAAAATTGCATTGATGTTGTGATTTGTTCTTGAACTCTACTCATTAAAGATTATAATGTAAGTTTAGTATGTCAATTTCCTTCAAACCAAAAATTAAGACAACAGAATAATGAAGATGTGCGTGTAGATGAGCTTGTTTTCATAGACACCAACAATCTACACCTTAGCTCATAATTTACTCATTACTACTTGTATTCTGTCTTACTTTGTGGTCTATTTGATATACTTAACGTGTCTAAATCGATTACAGAGAAAAAACAATCTAGAATATCCTATTGTTTCTATTCAAAAATGTTTCAATAAATAATATTAGAAGATAAAATCGAAAAATATTTTCTCATTGCAGAAAATTAAGATGGAATTGATCGGTATTTCTTCAGAAGCTAACTATATGTAATATGAATTTGAAAAAGTTTCAACACATTACTATATTTTTTATTGAAGTAAATCTAATTCAGATCAATAACGAAACTATTTCGATGAAACAAAAAATAGTTTTTTCAATCATGTAAAATGATGAATTATTTTCAATGTCATATAAGAATAGTTATCAATATATTTATTTTTGACTTTTATGGAACAAAAATCTTTCGAATGAATTCTTAGCTATTTTTATAATTGATTTATCATTTGGAAATTTGTCTTTTTCGAAGTGTTTCGAAGGAATCTCATACCTTTGATGCATTATTATAGCACTTATATCACAAAAACTCTGCACTTATGACATTAATATGTCATCCATGAAAATGTTGAGTGTTTTTAGGAATAATGAGTGAGTGCGACTGAATGTATAAATACGTTCCTCACTTCAATATCAATAATCTCTGTAAACACTTATTTCAAGAGCATGTTGAACTTGATTTTAATGTTCAACAACATCATTTGTGTTCATATGTTAGATTATGTAAATCAAAATATGATTGTTATACAGTAGGAAAAAAAAAAACAAAAATAACAGTATTGAATTTTATCATTAAATGAGCTGTGTGATTTTCGTCAGAGAAAAATGTGTACAATATAAGCTATACAAAAAGAGAAGTTTATGACAGATCAGTACATATATATGTCTAAATTAAAATTATTCTTCCGTAAAAACTTTCTATAATACATAATTGAATTTTTATATCATCTTCGTAATCATCAACTCTATTTTTTTTACTATTGATTCGGCTTATATAAATGGTAAAAACTGTATAATATTAATTGATACAAATTTAATGTATCCAATTGATTCGTCTATTAATTTTTATCAAAATTCTCATTGATAAACAAAAATATTAGTATAAAAATAAAATAAAAAAATTCTAATAAAGAAAACTAATTCAATGAGATAAATCTTGTAATATTCAATGAACGCATCTACTAAATCCTTAAAGCATTTAGGTATGAGCTAACAAGAAGAGCTCATCAGATTCACACCCCTCTGTTATCTTCTGTGTTACAATTAAATATTAAATAAAACAAAATATAGATAAAGAAGAAAAGTAAAAAGATTGCTTTCGAGCAAAAGCAATAAATGATTCATTCAATTCATTCTCAAAAAAAAATTTAAACACACAACTTTCAACAGTATTTATCAGGTCATAATTATACAAAAGTTAGTAGTTTAAAATCTCTAATCGAAATATATTTTTTCCTGTAAACGAACTTTCTCAATTATTCTTTTCTAACAGTAAAAAGGTCAAATATTGTTCCTATTTCATAAGTAAAAAACAAAACAACTAGAATCTTTTATTCAAACTGATATTTTTGTTACTAATAAATTGTCTATATTCATGTCGAAGAACAACAGTGTAGTGTCAGATTCAACAAGATATATTAAGAGGTTAATATTAAAACAACATTCACTGAAATACTGATAAAGAATTCGTCTATTTGTGGATTTTACCAAAAGACTCGTTGTTTAATTTTACAAAAAATCTTTTATTAAAAGTCTTTTTATTAGTAGAAATTTCTCATCAAAATTATAAGGATGATATGATTTACTCGAAAGAGGTTTGCAATTTTCTTTATATCTGTTCTATGTCTCATAGATTCACTTATACTTTCAAGCATAACAAAAAACCATGTATATATGTCTAATGAGAAAAAAATATGTGATTCATTAATTTATTTATTATTACTAATGAGATTTCTTTTATAGACTCAAATAATTAATCTATACATAATTTTATTTATGAAAATTCTGAGATATTTTTCAATGAACTAACAATAAAACTCTGTATCTCACAAATACTCGATAAAAATATCAATTATCTTTAGAAAATCATAGAAAACGAATGTTCGTCATTTTTTTTTAGTGTAACACCTCACTCTACGCCTATAATCGAAATACAGAATACACCAACAACTGTATGATGGAAGATCTGAATAAAAACAAAATATACAATTTCTCAAGCAACTATAGTTTAATCATTTTCTGATCAAATGAACAACATCGAATATTTATAAAAACTTAAATATCTACACTGAAAACAAAATGAAATTGTTGTATCTGTCGAATAATTTTTATACAAGAGAAATACATGAAGACATTCATCAAATGCTCTACTGCTATCATTATTGTCTCTCTTAGAAAATACTTCATTTCATTCTAATTAAATGACATTACTTCATAGAGAGTACTTTGTCAGGTAACTAAAAACAGTTACCACTTTCATTTCTACAATGTCAAAATACTCCTTAATAATTCAATTAAGAAAGTGGAACATATAAAGACAGTAACGTTCATTAAATCTAAACGAAAAATGCCTCTCTATACTGAAACTTTGTCTGATATACAGTTTCGTATAAAAATCTAGAAATAATATTACTTTTACATTACAGTTGTTTGTTCAAAATGTTTATAATGATGAATTTTGTTTTCATCGATAAATCTTGAAAATTTACAGTGTGCAAATATGATATACTCTATCATCAGGAGACTATTTTGTGATGAATTCATAGCTGTTTATATATTCATTACTATATCGATGAATATGACAATATAAGTGAATACACATCATTCATAGTTTGTTGTGTACAAGTTGATACATTCTGGATGAAAATTAGATAAATCCTGAGAAGCACTATATTCCAATGAAAATAAAATTTAGTAACGATGAAAATCACTTGAAATGAAAGAAATTCATCAATCTTAAATGTGTAGAAATTTCAATTTTTGCACAACTAACATTTCTTTAAAGAAAAGTCGAAAAACTATACGTAAAAAAAGTTCGCGCAAAAATTTCTCAGAAATTTCTCAAATACATATATATTGAAGATAATGAAGACGTCCAATAAAAAATATATTGTTCAGTAGAGAGACAAACGCTGTCTTATTCTATATAATTTAGACATGTATGTATTTCAGACATTCTTAAAATAAAGATCACATTTTGTAAAAAACAAAACACACCTATTTTTTAAGTTACTCGAGTTGATGAATTCTCTTGTCTTGTATTCTTATTTGAAGACGAGCAATGTGAAGGAGAAAGACAACACCCTCTATATATATGTAACATGAAAATTTTTTTTCGTCGACGATGACACGATATAGATGTATGTCAGACGAGAAAAAAAAATCATCAAATCAATTAACACAGAAGTAGAATGATTGATAAAAAATCAATCAAAATTTTGAACATCGCTCAATTAATCTCAGGGTATATAAAAACATGAATACATCATTATGAAACAGTATACACTCGAGTTGTATTATTATAATGCATTACAATGTATTTATATACCCGGGATTATTATTTATTATTACTATTATATTATTTACAATGATAATTATATTATTAAATTCTATACGAGGTAAATAATAAATTCATTATATATTTAATAAAACTTTTTCTTTTATTCTTTTTTAGATGAGTTTCGATACTATACAATATTGAGAAGTAAGAAAAAAAATTTTTTTTACATATTCAGTTGAGTTGAGTTGAGATAAGTTATTTTGAGAAATAATAAATACTATCAGTTATTATGAGTATGAGTACTTTTGAGATGAGTTGAGTTGAGTTATGAGTGTTATTAGTGTGGGTCAGAGAACTACGTTGTCTGATTCAATAGGTAGAGAAACTTTGCCATAGCGAAGCAGTGTAGTGCTAGGAAAGGCCTCTATGTGTCGTTGGTCCCTATCGTTAATACGGTATACCTTCGGCCATTGCCCTACCAGTCCGGCGTGGTCCGCCTGTGGTACCTATGGCATTGACAAGGGATCTCTCCCTTGTCGCGCGCGCGCGCGAATAAGCCAAAATGAACCGAGAAAAATCGAAACGATTAGCAATGTGAATAAATTTATTGAGCAAGCGAAAACAATCGTTTACATTTTCTTTTTAACATGATCAATGTTATCTTTTGTTACTTTAATTAGAGGATGTGTTGACGGAAGTGATTTTTGACGAATAGAAAGTGCTTTTTCTAAGAATGAGAGTGCTTTTGAGTAGTCTCCTTTGCCGGAATACGCCATACCGATGTTGTTGTAGGAACTAGCCAAATTGGGATGATTCGGAGGCAGAGCTTTTTCGAGGATTTTATGTGATTTTTCGTAAAATTCAAGTGCTTTCGAGTAGTCACCCATGTTGTTATACACTCCACCGATGTTGTTGTAGGAAGTAGCCAATTCGGGATGATTCGGAGGCAGAGCTTTTTCTCTGATTTTAAGTGATTTTTCGTAAAATTCAAGTGCTTTTGAGTAGTCACCCATGTTTTCATACACGAAACCGATGTTGTTGTAGGAAGTAGCCAATGAGGGATGATTCGGAGGCAGAGCTTTTTCGAAGATTTGATGTGCTTTTTCGTAAAATTCAAGTGCTTTTGAGTAGTCACCCATGTTTTCATACACGAAACCGATGTTGTTGTAGGAAGTAGCCAAATTGGGATGATTCGGAGGCAGAGCTTTTTCGAGAATTTTATGTGATTTTTCGTAAAATTCAAGTGCTTTCGAGTAGTCACCCATCTTGTTATACACTCCACCGATGTTGTTGTAGAAAATAGCCAAATTGGGATGATTCGAAGGCAGAGCTTTTTCGAGAATTTTATGTGCTTTTTCGTAAAATTCAAGTGCTTTCGAGTAGTCACCCATCTTGTTATACACTAGAGCAATGTTGTTGTAGATTGAAGCCAATGTCGGATCATTTTCCGGGAGACTTTTTCGATTGATTTCGAGTGATTTTTCATAAAATGAAGCTGCTTCTTTGTATTGTCCTTGGTCGCCTCTCACCCGCCCAAGCGCGTGATAGATAAATGCTTTATCACTGTCATTGGATGCTTGTTCCAATAGTGTCATGTACAATTCTTCGGCCTTGTTAAATTGACTTATTTTGAGCAGCAATTTACCCAGTCGATACCATCCAGTGCCACCTGAAGATTCTTCTCGTATACGATCAGTTAATTGATGGAGTTGCTGGTCATCATCCGACGTAAGTTTGAGGTCCACTTGGTAAAGTGGACTTTTGTTGTCAAGTTTTCGAATTTCACCAATTCGAAAGACGGTGTGCATGGAGAAGAGAATTTCCTCTTCATCCTTGTAATAACTCACCTCCTGAATGGAGGCGAAAGGAGTCGATGAGACTGTGGGATCGATGGTCATTTGGAAGAGGATGCCGACTATATCGGTTGTTCCTAAGGCATCTTTGGCGAAACCGAGGGAAACATCTCGTTTTGTACTGGTGGATAAAAAATTGTTGAAAGATATTAGACCACCTTTGTTTTTTGCAAGTTTTTCAAAGTCACTTGTCGATAATCCTTGACCCCTATAAACTAGAAAGGACTTTCCATGATACTGACTGACCTGTTGGCTGTGTAAGTCTTCAATTTGTCGATGAACATCACACAGGAAAAATCCCATTCGGATGATAATGTCGCCATCCAATGTTCTTAATGCTCGATTGAGCATGTTGAACGTGAAGCATTGGCGTGTATACCACCATAACGCCAATGTTGGATGGTAAGCACGTTGAAATTCATTGATTAACTTGAGTTCTTTGGTATTGCCTGCGTATTGTTCTTGGCAATATGTGACCAAGTCTTTAACGGCTTTTTGGCCATGTTCCATATCAAAGAGTATTTCCTTGAATATTTGAGTATACATGAAGGAAGGCTCTAGCTGATTGAGATTTTCGCTAGAACCTCCTTCATTGACACCGATAATACTGATTGTTACTTGATCTTGATTGCATTGTTTGACAGCCAGTGCCAGTTTTTCACAGATGTGCTTAATTGATGTATGCACACCTTTAATTTTGGGCCAATTCTTAGCCCATTCTTGGTGGCGTTGCTGGTTGCCACAAAAGATGTATATGGCATCCAGTTTTGGCATGCCGTGAATTTCTGGTAATAGGTGTTGTCCTAATGTACCCGAGGAGATGACAAATGATGTCTCCTCGTTGTTTTCCTGGAGTTTCTTGATACACTGGTCGGTCGTGGTGCATGGATTGACTTCATTAACAACACTGCGCAATTGCGCGAGTGTATTCTGGCAATCTTCATTTGCCATGTCGATATTATCATCGACCCAGATGACCAGATAATTTTCAGCCATCCGTCGTCTTCGTTCCATGATAGCTGACGAAGCTGTTGTACTTTGTTTGGATTTTTGACCACCCATTTACATATAATAATCAGTAATGGATTGTGGTAAGTGATAGATAGCTTTTCGAACAGTGATCACTGTTTTCTATTTATATATTCGATGTTGACCGTTTGTTGTCTAGATTTTTCCACGACGTCAAATATGGGCATGTGGGTTTTTTGTTGACACTCAAAGATAAACCCCACCTACTTTCAATTGAAAATATGCTTATCAAAAGCAAACGAAAGAAAAAAATCCAACAACATCATTTATCTTATCGTTATTCTTTCCAACTTCCATTGGGTTTTTTTTCTATTGACTTTTATTTACCTTATAAAACGAGGCTGACAATGCAAGATAAGAAGAAATTAAGCAAAATTAGATAGAATGATAAGAATAAGATAGCAAGAAGAAAGATACAAAGACAATAAGTGGAGGTATCATCATAATAAATTTGTAGGCTAGTGCAATCTTATGCTGGGATGTGTGTGCCTAGGTAGATGGGTTTCCGAATGTGAGTATCGGTGGATGTGGCTGTGGGTGGATACAGCTGTGGCCGTATGGTGTGAATTGGTGCTGGTGGATGTGGTTGTGGCTGCGGCTCTGGGCGCGCATCGATGTGGGTTGGTACATCTGTAATTGTGAGTAGTGGATGACTGTGTGGGAGTGTGGCTGTAAATGTGAGAGCGGAAGCGAGTGACATGAACGTGGTTGTGGGTGTCGATGTAGGCGCGGTATGGGTGTGAGTCTTCTCTTCAGCAAACACACGTTCACCTACACCGACATCCACACCCACACGCACATCCAACCCTAGGATGTCGGTGTGGGTGTGGATATGAGTCTTCTCTTCAGCAAGCACGCCCACGTCTACCAACACTCGCACCCAAGCCACGCCTACACCCACACCCAAGCCACACTCATACCCACAGCCACACCCTCGTGCCTTCATTCTTCTTCAAGTTAAAAACCTTGTCGATCATGTGAAACAGTAGGATAATGGTTACAGTTAGCGTGAAGGATGTTAGGCCTCTTCACGCCTTCATGTCAGGATAGATAGTATCTCCTTGTAATTTTTATTTTGAAAATTTCCAATCCCTTCGAACGAGCCATTAATTTTACTTTTAATCTTATTTCGAAGGGTACTCTTGTACGACTCACTTCATTCTAGCTCTTTGATCATTAGTAAGTCGACCACAGACTAGAATTCGACAAGGTTAACATCAAAATTACTGAAGAAAGAAGTTCTCCAACGGATACACGCCGTTTTTGTTGATATTTTGCTCAGATGTATAGTTTGATGACACTAGAAAAAAACCTAAAAAGATAACGGTGCATAAGCTTTCCTTCTCGACTGATGATCATTTTACTTGCTTTACCACACATGATAAGGGATTCAATGAAAAATCAGCTTTCGTGCACACGCAGATCTTATGACCTATATATTAGGCTCAAGGTTGCAGTCAAAACAAATGCTTCTTTCGTAAAATATTGATTTTTCCATAGAAGTCGGTTTTCATGACATGTATGTAGCATGGTAATGTTTTCTTGATAACGCAATATTTTGAGAAAGAAGCGTTTGTTTTTACTGGAACTTTTAGGCTGATATATTGACCATAGGACTTGCATGTGGACAACATTTCAGATCGAAATTTCTCAATTTGATTTTTCGCTGGATCCCTTGTGCTAGGTGGTAAACCAAGTAAAATGATCATAACTTGAGAAGGAAGGCCTATGGCCTGTTATTCTTTTAAGTTTTTTCTAATCTGATCGAACCTTACATATAGGCAAAATATCAACAGAAACGGCATGGATCAGTTGAGGACTTTTCCTTGAGAGTCTTGTACGAGGGGGAAACGGCGGATTTTTGGGATTCTGAATCCCTAAAAATCCAGTGAAAATCCAGGGAATACAATGGAAATGCAGGGAGTACAATGGGAATCCCGGGGGTACAATGGGAATCGTGGGAGTACAATGGAAATCCAGGGAGTACAGTGGGAATTAGGTATGCACCACTGCCAATTAACTGGGTATCAGTGCCAGTGGGTACTAGTGCCACTGGGGTATCCACTGCCATTGAGGAGCCCAGTGCCACTGGGTATATGCTTAACTGATCTATGTTTTATTTATAAAGAGGTACCCTCGAGTTCTCATGTGCTATTATTTCGAGGTGCTCTTAGGTCTTCATGTCCTATTATATGAAGCTACCTGTAGGTCCCCATGCACTTCATTTGAAGGTACTCTTGGGTCCTCATGTGCTATTATATGGAGATACCCCGGGTCCTCATCTCCCATTATATGAAGGTATTCTTAGGCCCTCATATGATACTATATGAAGGTACCCTTAGGTTCTCATGTACTATTATATGAAAGTACTCTTAGGTCCTCATGTGCTATTATATGGAGGCCCTCGGGTCTTCATCTGCATTATATGGAGGTACCCTTAGGCTCTCTTATGCTATTATTTGGAGGTACTCTCGGATCCTCATCTCCTATTTTATGGAGGTTCCCTTAAGTCCTCATGTCCTATTATATGGGGTATCCTTAAGTCCTGATGTTCTCTTAATCCCCTTCTCCCATCCGTCTCTCCAGAACAAAACCTCAATAGGCTTTTATTCTGTTTTGAAAGTTACAAGTTTGGACATGGGCTCTTATTGCGATGAATGTTTTCATGCTGCCGTTAGGATTTAATTAGCACACAAGGATAAAGTGTTTTAAAAACTAATAAATCAAAATTGTCAGTTTCTCGGAGAACTGTAGAAGTAGTTATCACGGTTTCGTAGACACCATAGCTGGTTACCAGTTCGTTCCCGATCCCACACTATTAAGTCGACAATCTAACGGGTTCTGAACACCATATTTCCTATTCAGGTGTTCATCTGGCCTGAGTATTTGCGTGATCTAGCAATGGACACAAAAAACGATGGTTAAAGTAACACATTCATTTAGGAAACAGTCGAACTTGAAGGAATTAAAAAGAGGTTTCTATTAGACGTATACTGAGATCGTTCTGTCGAACGACTTCAATATGGCAGCCTATGCGCAGTTCCGACACGAAATTAGATAGATCTTACTTATTGCGACAGAAATATGCAATGATTCCTTGACTATGCAGTAAGGTTCTCCCATTTTGGAAAAATACATATGTCAGACTCCTGATTGTCATAATAGTTTATATCATAGTATCCGACACTGACATTGGTTTTTTAAGTGTAATGAAGTCTTGCATAATTGGTATCGATTGTAGCGCAGCTTTTTAAACAATCGTACTTACCAGTGAAATAGTTCATGCATATTGCTGCAAAAATTAATATAAATTTTCCTGATTTGGTTTCCAAGCTCCATGTAATTTCTTAAGAGGAAAATCCCTAACACAACGATATTACCCATGTGTAATACCTTTTCAATACTTCTTAGACAGCTATGCTTCATTAATGCGGCTTGGTATATATTTCTCAAGAATTGTTGTAAAAAGCTTGAAAAAAGGAAGCTCGAAAAGAAAAATCTTTAAAAAA